CTACCGTCAATCAAAGCAAGATAAGATGCATAAAAGATAAACATCACATGCAATCAATATAAGTGATATGATATGGCCATCATCATCTTGTGCTTGTCATCTCCATCTTCGAAGCACCGTCGTGATCACCATCGTCATCGGCGCGACACCTTGATCTCCATCGTAGCATCGTTGTCGTCTCGCCAATCTTATGCTTCCATGACTATCGCTACCGCTTAGTGATAAAGTAAAGCATTACAGCGCGATTGCATTGCATACAATAAAGCGACAACCATATGGCTCCTGCCAGTTGCCGATAACTCAGTTACAAAACATGATCATCTCATACAATAAAATTTAGCATCATGTCTTGACCATATCACATCACAACATGCCCTGCCAAAACAAGTTAGACGTCCTCTACTTTGTTGTTGCAAGTTTTACCTGGCTGCTACGGGCTTAAGCAAGAACCAATCTTACCTACGCATCAAAACCACAACGATAGTTTCTCAAGTTGGTGTTGTTTTAACCTTCGCAAGGACCGGGCGTAGCCACACTCGGTTTAACTAAAGTTGGAGAAACTGTCACCCGCTAGCCACCTTTGTGCAAAGCACGCCGGGAGAACCGGTCTCGCGTAAGCGTACGCGTAATGTCGGTCCGGGCCGCTTCGTCCAACAATACCGCCGAACCAAAGTATGACATGCCGGTAAGCAGTATGACTTATATCGCCCACAACTCACTTGTGTTCTACTCGTGCATATAACATCAACACATAAAACCTGGGCTCTGATACCACTATTGGGGAACGTAGTAATTTCAAAAAAAATTCCTACACACACGCAAGATCATGGTGATGCATAGCAACGAGAGGGGAGAGTGTGATCTACGTACCCTTGTAGACCAACAGCAGAAGCGTTAGCACAACACGGTTGATGTAGTCGTACGTCTTCACGGCCCGACCGATCAAGCACCGAAACTACGGCACCTCCGAGTTCTAGCACACGTTCAACTCGATGACGATCCCCAAACTCTGATCCAGCAAAGTGTCGGGGAAGAGTTCCTTCAGCACGACGGCGTGGTGACGATCTTGATGTACTACCGTTGCAGGGCTTCGCCTAAGCACCGCTACAATATTATCGAGGATTATGGTGGAAGGGGGCACCGCACACGGCTAAGAATATGATCACGTGGATCAACTTGTGTGTCTAGGGGTGCCCCCTACCCCCGTATATAAAGGAGCAGGGGAAGGTGCGGCCGGCCAGGAGGAGGGCGTGCCAGGAGGAGTGGGAGTAGGATTCCCCCCTTTCCTAGTTGGAATAGGATTCGGGAGGGGGAAAGAGGAGAGAGAGAAGGAAGGGGGGGCTCCGCTCCCCTCTCCTTGTCCTATTTGGACTAGGGGGAGGGGCGCGCGGCCCAGCCCTGGCCACCTCTCCTCTCTTCCACTAAAGCCCACTAAGGCCCATATACCTCCCGGGGGTTCCGGTAACCTCCCGGTACTCCGGTAAAATCCCGATTTCACCCGGAACACTTCCGATATCCAAATATAGGCTTCCAATATATCAATCTTTATGTCTCGACCATTTCGAGACTCCTCGTCATGTCCGTGGTCACATCCGGGACTCCGAACAAACTTCGGTACATCAAAATGCATAAACTCATAATATAACTGTCATCAAAACCTTAAGCGTGCGGACCCTACGGGTTCGAGAACAATGTAGACATGACCGAGACACGTCTCCGGTCAATAACCAATAGCGGAACCTGGATGCTCATATTGGCTCCCACATATTCTACGAAGATCTTTATCGGTCAGACCGCATAACAACATACGTTGTTCCCTTTGTCATCGGTATGTTACTTGCCCGAGATTCGATCGTCGATATCTCAATACCTAGTTCAATCTCGTTACCGGCAAGTCTCTTTACTCGTTTCGTAATACATCATCTTGCAACTAACTCATTAGTTGTAATGCTTGCAAGGCTTATGTGATGTGCATTACCGAGAGGGCCCAGAGATACCTCTCCGACAATCGGAGTGACAAATCCTAATCTCGAAATACGCCAACCCAACATGTACCTTTGGAGACACCTATAGAGCTCCTTTATAATCACCCAGTTACGTTGTGATGTTTGGTAGCACACAAAGTGTTCCTCCGGCAAACGGGAGTTGCATAATCCTATAGTCATAGGAACATGTATAAGTCATGAAGAAAGCAATAGCAACATATTAAACGATCGGGTGCTAAGCTAATGGAATGGGTCATGTCAATCACATCATTCTCCTAATGATGTGATCCCATTAATCAAATGACAACATATGTCTATGGTTAGGAAACATAACCATCTTCGATTAACGAGCTAGTCAAGTAGAGGCATACTAGTGACGTTTGGTTTGTCTATGTATTCACACAAGTATTATGTTTCTGGATAATACAATTCTAGCATGAATAATAAACATTTATCATGATATAAGGAAATAAAATAATAACATTATTATTGCCTCTAGGGCATATTTCCTTCAATAATTATCCCTCAACATGCAACAAAGAGTCACTCCAAAGTCACTAATAGCGGAGAACGAACAAAGAGATTATGGTAGGGTACGAAACCACCTCAAAGTTATTCTTTCTAATCAATCCGTTGGGCTATCCCTATAAGTGTCACAAACAACCCTAGAGTTCGTACTAGAATAACACCTTAAGAAACAAATCAACCAAAACCCTAATGTCACCTAGATACTCCAATGTCACCTGAAGTATCCGCGGGCATGATTATACGATATGCATCACACAGTCTCAGATTCATCTATTCAACCAACACAAAGGACCTCAAAAGAGTGCCCCAAAGTTCTACCGGAGAATCACGAGGAAAACGTGTGCCAACCCCTATGCATAGGTTCCCAATGTCACGGAACCCGCAAGTTGGTCACCAAAACATACATCAAGTGGCACATGGTATCCCATTGACACCACAGATATCCACGGCAAGACATACATCAAGTGTTCTCAAGTCTTTAAAGACTCAATCCGATAAGATTACTTCAAAGGGGAAACTCGATTCATTACAAGAGAGAAGAGGGGGGAGGAGAAACATAAGATCCAACTATAATAGCAAAGCTCGCGATACATCAAGATCGTATCATCTCAAGAACACGAGAGAGAGAGAGATCAAACATATAGCTACTGGTACATACCCTCAGCCCCGAGGGAGAACTACTCCCTCCTCGTCATGGAGAGCACCGGGATGATGAAAATGGCCACCGGAGATGGATTGCCCCCTCCGGCAGGGTGCCGGAACGGGTCTAGATTGGTTTTCAGTGGCTACGGAGGCTTTTGGCGGCGGAACTCCCGATCTATTCTTCGTTCTGGAAGTTTTAGGGTATATGGAGTTATATAGGCGGAAGAAGCACGTCAAGAGAGCCACGAGGGCCCCACGAGGCAGGGGGCGCGCCCTAGGGGGATGCGCCCCCCACCCTCGTGGGCAGCTCCCGTATCTTCTGACATGGGGTCCAAGTCCATCAGGTGTGTTTCCTTCCAAAAATAACTTCTCCAGTTGATTTCGTTCCGTTTCGACTCCGTTTGATATTCCTTTTCTTCAAAATACTGAAATAGGCATAAAACAGCAAATCTGGGCTGGGCCTCCGGTTAATAGGTTAGTCCCAAAAGTAATATAAAAGTGGATAATAAAGCCCAATATTGCCCAAAACAGTAGATAATATAGCATGGAGCAATAAAAAATTATAGATACGTTGGAGACGTATCATGGCTCTCCAAGGAAATCAATCGCCGACGGCTGCCATAATGGGTGAAATCAAGAGTCTACTTAAGCAGGGTAGAGAGTACTCTGTAGTGCATGTGCATCGTTCATGTAATAATGTAGCACACCGGCTAGCTCAGATAGGGCATCATCATATGCGTACGGCAGTTTGGCTACGGTCTGGACCAAATGAGATTGAGTTGCTACACCGGTATGATTGTAATCCCCATGGTTGAGCAATAAAAATCTCATTTATTCGCAAAAGAAAAGGAAGTGCGGGTCGTTTCCGTTCAGGTTTCAGAACTTGTATATGCTTGTTAGGTACCTATTGTTTTGCGCTCCTACTAGGCTTTGACAGGATTAGCCTGTGAGCTTCCGGCTGGAGTCGCATCGTGTTGTGGGATGCTGGTGTGTCATCGTTGTAAGGCCCTGTTTGGTTCGGCTGTGGATTTCTAAAAGCAGCTGTGAAAAATCTGCTGTGAAAAAACAGTTGTGGAAAATCTGATTTGAAAAAGATGTAGGTCATTTGGAAAACCAGCTGATACAACCTTTTCAGATTTTGGCCCGCAGCGGAATCAGATTTTGGAAAGCACATCCTGAGCTGCTTTCGTTTTTGGTTCAGATTTTGGCAGCGGATTTCTGGAATCGGATTCTGCTGGGTTCGCCCTTTGGTTCAGATTCTGCTGCGCGGCAGCGGAATCCGGTGATAAAAGCTGAACCAAACAGGGTCTAAGACATGTGGTTCCTGATATATGAAAATCAGAGAGGCGGCTCTCTTTTTTTTTAAGTCTCTCCCCCTTCTGCCACCTCCGCCCGATCTAGGGTTTGAGTAGAATTACGGGAGAGGGGAATTGAGACGATATCACCTCACTCGCATCCTTCTTTTTTTAGAAACCCTCACTCCTATCCTTTATGTGTGCCGCCCGACTAGTGGGCCTAATGTTTGGCCCATGGTCAAATAATTCCAGCCCATCAGCCCCACCAGTAAGGCCCACACCCAAGCCACCTCTACCAACCAACTCACGCGAGACCGCGGCCACTGAAAATGACCTCCCCAACTAGTATGGTGAATGTTGTTTACCCTCCAAAATGAATTTGAACAGAATGAAATGAACGCACGAAAAGATATCCGTACATAAAGGCATGCAAAGAAAACCAAGAATTTTCCAAACTGATAATAAAGTTAAAAAAATGCTCTCTCTGCAGTGATCTAAATAATCTTATATTTTTTTACAGAGGGAGTACATATCAACAAAATAAGACAAATTAAGTGAGAGGAGAGGCGGCGTGCTTGTTCAAGAACTCGATGGCAACACCGGCATGCATGGCAGCCCCGATGGGGAGCACATTCTCGTCGACCACCAGGTGCGGCGTGTGCAAGTAACTTATGTCCTCGCCGGCACGATGGGCGCCGACGTTAAAGAAGGCGGCCGGGATCTTCTGTGCATAGAACCCAAAGTCCTCTGCTGCCATAAACTGGGGGCACAACAACACATTCGCCTCCCCCAACATGCTCTGTGCCACCACCTTAGCATCCGCGTACATGCCTTCGTCATTCACGGTGGCTGGGTACGGCCGGTGCTCCTCCTCCATGAAGTCCACCGTCGCCTTGCACCGTCCCACAGCGGCCTGCCCCTCGATCACCTTTAGTTAATTACAGTGTGTTAGTTCAAAGAAACTAAACCTTGAAATTCCTAGGAATAAGTTATCTCATGACCATGTTGTTCATCACCTCCCTGATCCTTTTCATGAGATAGGATAGTCCTTCTGTTGTCATGCTCCTCAAGGTGCCGCCCAAGGTCACAGACTCCGGGATGACGTTGAAAGTTTCACCTCCTTTGATGAAGGTTACGGACACCACCTATAAATAATTGTTCAAACAGGTATGGGCAAATGATCAATATGTTGAAGTGCAATCAACGTACACCCGAGGAATAGAAAGAATACATACTGCGCTCTGGAGTGGGTCGATCTCACGAGCAACGAGCTGCTGGAGGCTAAGGACGGCCGAGGAGGCGGCCACCACCGGGTCAACTACGGATTGGAGCATGGCAGCGTGGCCGCCCTTCCCGGTGATGGTCGCCTTGAAGCGGGCAGATCCGGCAAGGAACGGCCCTGGCCTGGAGCCGACGGTGCCCACCGGCATGCTCGTGTTGATGTGCACGGCAAATATGGCAGCTACATCGTCCAGGACGCCATCCTGCAGCACATGGTACCCGCCGGCGTGGCCCTCCTCCGCCGGCTGGAACACGAGCTTCACCGTGCCCTTGAGGCCGTCCTTGCGGGACTGGAGCAGCTTGGCGGCGCCGAGGAGCATGGCGACGTGGGCGTCGTGGCCACAGGCGTGCATCTTGCCGTCCTCCTTGCTCTTGAACTCCCACTCCACCATCTCCTGCAATAATTAATGGATCCAGCACACGTATAAATGAATTAGTGCAAAACAAACTAACCACTGGTTTGATAATTGAGTTGCGACTTTGTTTGTACAAATGAGTTATCTTGGTCGTACGTTTTGCAGCCGGCGATGGACAACGACTCTAACTATTTGCTGTGACTTGCAAAGTCGCATGCAATATACGTGACACTTGCATGCTAATACGATTCTATGCACACTTGCATGGTGCAATTATAGTTAATTAACATAAGCTCGCCTTCTTGCAGACGACTTGCTACCTACCGATGGCGATCGACGGATCTAGTCACAGAATGGATCAACCAACTCCAATTTTTCCATTTTTCAAGGACACGTCGATTGACTGACCTGGATGGGGAGCGCGTCCATGTCGGCCCGGAGCGCGAACACCGGCCCCGGGCCGCCTCCGCCGGCGATGGTGGCTACGACGCCGGTGCACGCGACGGGCCAGACGTAGGGGATGGCGAGGGCGTCGAGCTCGGCGCGCACGAGCGCGGAGGTGTGGTGCTCCTGGAAGGCCAGCTCCGGGTGCTGGTGGATCCGCCGCCGCACGCCGAGCATCCACGCTGCGAACCCCTGCGCCTGCGCCTCCACCAGAAGCTGCTCCGCCGCCATCGTGTCCATCGATCGGTATGTATTACGCCGGACGCGTGCCAGCAAGCTAGAGGCGGGCAGGCAGGCAGATACTCGGAGGAAGGATGGCCTTTTGTCCTTCAGACGTTGTGTAGTACTTGTAGTACGTAGCGTTGACGGCGGGAAGGATGGTTTGGTCTTGTCTGTGCAGGCCCGGGCCTGGCCGAGGAGGATGCTCCATGCTTGGGCCGTCATAATGTGGTTGGTTTTCTCCTTTTCTCTGCACAATGATAATTTCATCAGCATTTTCTGAAATTTCGGATGGTTTTTAAATATAGTAAAAAAATAATTCATGAGCTTTTCTTACCTGGAGACATATTTGAAATTTTATGGCCATATTTTAAATATTCAATCATTTTTTAAAATACGGAACAGATTTCACATTGAGGAACATTTTTAAGAATTCACGAGCACTTTTCAAGTTCATGCTCATTTATAAATTATCAAACATATTTTAAAATTCGCCAACATATTTCAATTTTTGTATTATTTATATACAATTGCGAACATATTTCAAACTCAGAAACATTTTGAAATTAAGGACATTTTAAAATTGACTCGGGAGTATTTTATTAATTCTGAGATATATTTTAAATTCTTGTATTATTTTGAAATCAAACTATTTTAATATAGTAAGCAAATGAAAAAGTATACCGATGGAATCAATCGAGCCACAAAAACGATCAAACAATAAACGAACGAAGTTGCTGACAGAAACAACTTGCAACAGGGCCAACTAATGTAGTTACATGCTTAGGTCCGTATTTCTCGCCTATTTCCTGTGGAATAGGAGGACCCATGTACAGGGAGCATTGAGGTTGGCATACGGTGGTAGGTGGCGACAGTCTAGTCAGGATGGTCGCTGTAAAAGGAAGGAGCTCGGCGAATCAATTTAGCGCTTTAGTGGACGGGGCATGGATTGTAGACCCAGTCGATATGGAAGGACTTCTTTCTTATATGTGCAAGAGGTGAATCCTATTGCAACCCACTTTTCGTTTAGCGTATTTGTCCACACCGGGTTTCGGAAGGCTTTTCCATTCTATTGAAGCCGTTATTGGATTCCATTCTAATATTTCCATAACGGTTTTCTCTTGTGTTTTTGTTTTTGCTGGTATAATAGGTTTTTCATGTGTTTTGTTTTTACATTTCTTTTCCATTCTATTATTTCCATATTTTTAATTTTTCCTCTCTCGTCCATTTTAAAATTTCTGAATATTTTCTCAAATTATAGTCAGTTTTTAAAATGTCATACATTTATTAAAATTTGGGAAAATAATTAAAATTTGTGTTCATTTTTTAATTTCTGTATCAGTTTATCTATCGAGTCACATTAAAATTATTTTAACATTTCAACCAGAAAACATCTTCATTCATGGCAACTTCATAAATTTCATGATCATCTTTTAAGCTTCGAATTTTTTAAATTCAAGATATTTTTAGAAATAGCAAAAAGTTAACAATTTGCCTATTTTAAAATTTTGTGCTTTAATGAACAAGGCCTGTGTTGTAGGCCCGGTCGATATGGGAAGGCAGAAGCTTAAGTTTGGAGCAGCTATTTTTTATGAGGAAAACATGCTTCATTTTATTGATCTATATGATGAAATACAGGAATACAAGAGAGTATCAAAGGGTTGTAACAGCCACAAATGGCGACTCTCTCCTAAGTGCAAAGCATGTTTAGCTAGACGGTGGGCCACCATATTCGAGAGCTGTCCTCCATGAGCAAAAGTACAAGAAAGAAACTCTCGCATAGTGCCTTTTGATCTCTTTCACAACTGGTGCGATAATTCCTGATGTGTCTGAATGTATATCAGAAATAACCTAAAGACAACCTGAAGCCACTTTAATGTTCTGATAGCAGATATTCGGCCAAAGATAAGGCCTCGCGGCATGCTAGTTTGGAGCGGCTATGTTCCGCCTGCTCCTAGGCTGACGACTGCCTCGTCTACAGGACCGGTGGTGGCCGTCCCAGTAGGACGTGGGTCGCCACACTAATGTCAATTGATTTTCCTTTTCCCCTATTTATACTTTTATTTATATTTTAAGTGCATATATTTTAAAAAGTATCACTTAAGCAAATGAAAACCATGAATTTGAAAATTGTTTTTTGCTGGTCTGCTATTTTTTATCCATTTTATAATTTTTGTTTTTTTGAATTTTCTAAATAGTTTTAAAAACCCAAGAACATTGAAATTTTGTTATGTGCCACTAGCGAACTCGGATATCTGATGAGATCCAATGAGGCTTCACGAATTCAGTCCGTGGCACTAACACTTGCGCAAAAATTAGCTACATGCCCCTATGTGCCATCTAAGCGAATTTTCATCGGTTGGCCATCTTCTTTCGGCGTTTCATCCTCTATGGGACCCACCACTTCACCACATCAACAATAGAATGTGGAGACTCGGTTAATCATTTATGTTGATGTGAGGGCCCACCTTTGACAGGAACATACAACCATGGTTTTATTTTGCGGCTCCTCTGATGTGGGACCACCAACATTGACGAGGAGTTTCCATCATTCTTGAGCTAACCCTTTGTGTTAAAAAATGAAAATAATAATAATCAAAAATTCATTTTTTTTGCTTTCTTTTAAATTCGTTTCCATTAGGTTCTACCGGAAGGCAACCACCGGACCACATCGAGGAAAATACATCGAAGAAATGGCCTATGTAGATTAAAGGAGAAGCCATTTGTACCTCAATGGTAAAAGTGCATTACCCTTACTTAATCTAAGCTTGGCGAGGTAACCACTTTTCATACACTCCTTTAATAAACTGCATTAACTTTTGTTTCGTAATTTTCTCGAGTTCAGATTTTACAAAGTTCTAAGCTTGGGGAAGTTATTCTTGCATTTGTATAGTCATGTGCAATAATCTTCATCTTATAGCTATTATGCAATTATGTGCCCCCCTGTTTGACATCCTTTATTTGGTATGATTATCATGTATTTATATCGGGGAATCACTTGCTCAGGATTAGTCAGAAATATGTTATCAAGAAGAAGTAGCGTGGAAGGTGAAACTCTCAAACCATGAAAAATGGATTGTTCCATACTTGGTTTTTGAGATAGCACTCGTTTTGTCCACTTTTAGTTTACTCGCAATCATCAACCATGCTTGACTTTCATGACACATGAAATGATAAATGATTGTGTCATAGGAAAATAAGAATGTTCAAGGTTGTGTGATGTTGAGGTGTGGCTGGCCTTGGAGGATTATAGAATAGAGTAGAAGCATTGTGCTGTAAAAATATCATAAGGGACATCAGGTATTTGTACAGAGAAGAAGAGAAACCGAGAGAGTTCGGTTTGTGTTCTTGAGCCTCAGAGTTCATCGCGTGGCTGGCGAAGGGCAAGTAGGAGATGCTAGTGCAGGAGGTGGTGATGGTGCCTGGTGGAGGCGAGTGTGGGGAACTGGGCTTTGACCCCAAGGCTGTTGCAGCGCAAGAGGAGGAGAAGAAGCTACGGGAATTTGCAACAAGGCGTTGGGGAACGCAGTAATTTCAAAAAAATTCCTACGCACACGCAAGATCTATCATGGTGATGCATAAAAACGAGAGGGGAAGAGTGTTGTCCATGTACCCTCGTAGACCGTAAGCGGAAGCGTTATGACAACGCGGTTGATGTAGTCGAACGTCTTCACGATCCGACCGGTCCTAGCACCGAAGGTACGGCACCTCCGCGATATGCACACGTTCAGCTCGATGACGTCCCACGAACTCTAGATCCAACTGAATGTCGAGGGAGAGTTTCGTCAGCACGACGGCGTGATGACGGTGATGATGAAGCTACCGGAACAGGGCTTCGCCTAAGCACTGCAACAATATGACTGAGGTGGATTATGGTGGAGGGGGGACCGCTCACGGCTAAACAATGTCAACTTGTGTGTCTATGGGGTGCCCCCTCCCTCGTATATAAAGGAGTGGAGGAGGGGGAGGGCCGTCCCTCTAAGGCGCGCCCTAGGGGAGTCCTACTCCCACCGGGAGCAGGATTCCCCCCTTCCAAGGAGTAGGAGTAGGAGAGAAGGAAGGGGAGGAGAGAGGGAAGGAAAGGGGGGCCACCCAATTCGGATTGGGCTAGGGGGTGCGCCTCCCACCTTTTTCCCTTCCTCTTCTTTATTCCAATAAGGCCCATTTACTCTCCGGGGGGGGTCCGGTAACCTCTCGGTACTCCGAAAAATGCCCGAACTCATCCGGAACCATTCCGATGTCCAAACATAGACTTCCAATATATCGATCTTTATGCCTCGACCATTTCGAGACTCCTCGTCGTATCCGTGATCATATCCGGGACTCTGAACTACCTTCGGTACATCAAAACACATAAACTCATAATATCGATCGTCACCGAACGTTAAGCGTGCGGACCCTACGGGTTCGAGAACTATGTAGACATGACCGAGACTCATCTCCGGTCAATAACCAATAGCAGAACCTGGATGCTCATATTGGTTCCTACATATTCTACGAAGATCTTTATCGGTCAAACCACACAACAACATACGTTGTTCCTTTTGTCATCGGTATGTTACTTGCCTGAGATTCGATCTTCGGTATCTCAATACCTAGTTCAATCTCGTTACCGGCAAGTCTCTTTACTCGTTCCGTAATGCATCATCCCGCAACTAACTCATTAGTCACATTGCTTGCAAGGCTTATAGTGATGTGCATTACCGAGAGGGCCCAGAGATACCTCTCCGATACTCGGAGTGATAAATCCTAATCTCGATCTATGCCAACTCAACAAACACCATTGGAGACACCTGTAGAGCATCTTTATAGTCACTCAGTTACGTTGTGACATTTAGTAGCACACAAAGTGTTCCTCCGGTATTTGGGAGTTGCATGATCTCATAGTCATAGGAACATGTATAAGTTATGGAGAAAGCAATAGCAACAAACTAAACGATCATCGTGCTAAGCTAACGGATGGGTCAAGTCAATCACATCATTCTCTAATGGTGTGATCCCGTTAATCAAATGACAACTCA